AAGATAATCATTAAAATAATTTCTTCCATTATTTCTTTGTGCATAAAAACGGGCACCTTGTCTTGTTCGTTCAATATTTCCATAATAAATATCAAAACCTAAACTAGCTTGTAGATGTGTATGCATTTGTGAAGCACCACTTTTAGGCATTGCATCCCATATCATTTCAGGACATGTATACATTGGTTCTATTGAATAAGCCCTACGAAACCATTCAAGTGCTAATTCAAACATATCAGCTATTTCAGCTTCTGCTAAATGTAATGTATCATGATTCCGTGATACAACAAGTGTATGCCAACGATCATATTTAAATGTATTAGCAGCTGTATATGAAAGACGATGTTCCAGACGTCCAAATCTATCTTCAGCTGTTGAACTAAAATAATACAATAGGTCTTGTTTTCTGATCCTTTTTGTATGTCGGTTTCTCAGAGATGTATTAAAAGAATATCGAAGAAGCTATCAGAATTTATTTTTTTGGACTTATTAGATTTATTTAACTTACTGGATTTATTTAGACTTATCAATTGATAGCATATAATGCATTTTAACTGTATGAAAAGAAAACTATAGTTTTAAAGATTCAGCCTGCATCTTTAGCTGATTTCCAGACCTCAGTGTTGTTCTCGCCTTCCTTCATAACGAGATACATACTTTCAATCTAGTTATTTTCGCTTGATGATAACATATATCATGGGATTTATCGAAGAATCCCGATACGCCCAAAAAATAAAAATAAATCCCAGAAGCTGCTGATTTTTACAGTTCCAATTGCTATTTTAATCTCCATTAAATGAACACGCGTACACTTTTTTCCTTCCTCTCCTCTTCATCGTTTCAAACTAATGTACTAAAACTACTATATATTGTTTGTTATCAGTGTACACATCAGAAAAAGCGATGGCATCTCACCATCATCTTACATTAAATGAAAAAAAATCAATTATTTAATAATTACAAAGATTATAATAGTTTATCACAATGAGAATTAGCGAACAACTTGAAAATTTTCCTTGGTTCTGTATCCGATATTTTCAAACTATAAAAAGAATATTTTAAATCATTATCACACAAAACAAAATCAGCAACATTAAACAAAGATTCAAAAGCTTTGATGTAATAAAATATGATGAATATTCAGAAGCGAACATAAATCTATAGTAGTTGTATTTTCACATTTTCTTCTCGACGGTAGTAGCTAGCAAGAATTCTTTATTAGAATTGATAGCCTGGAAGACTTCAGCAAAACAGCTTGAATGAAGGTGTATGGAAAATACAGGCGTCCAAAACCAACTTTCTGATTTCCATTTAATGCTTTCGGAAAAAAGTTTTATTTGATAGCACAAATAATTATACGTAAAATGAGACATCTCTGATCTCTTCAGGAGTTACTTTTATTGAACTGCATTCAATTTATAGAAGGCTCTAAAATATCCAGCATGGCAAAACCATTGAAGCTTTCAATAAAAAGAGGAGAAGAATGCTTTTTGAGCTCGTTGTCAAGTGAATGCACTTCGATGAAGGAAAGTCATGGAGAGATCCGAGATGTCTCATTTTGCGCAGAACTATTTGTTCTATCAAACAAAATCTTTTCCCTACAGCTTTGAATGGAAGACAGAAAGCTGTTTTTGAGTGTCTTGGTTTTTTGTAGACCCTCATGCAAGTAGTTGAGTTGAGGTCTTCGAATCTAACAAGCTTAATAGAGAAACCTTGCAGGTACATAAATGTTTTGTTTCTGAGATTCTTTCTAACTATTACCATTAAGAAGAAAACATAAAAGTACAACTATTCTAAATTTATGTTCGCCATTACATATTTTGAATGAATTGTCGAGTCACACTCATCAAATTTACATAGATCAAAACCGAAATCATAATACAAGAGTTTATGAAATAAAGCAAAATTGTGTATTCTGTTAAAATTTTTGTTTTGGAATTCATAAATATTTAAATGAAGGTAGCAAAACAACACCAAGAATAGACTCTGATTACTTCAAAACTAGTACAGAAGCTTATATTTTGAAAATGTTTTCTTTTTCATTTATTAGTAAAATATGTGATATCTTCGATAGATAAACACCTCTCACTACTTCGAAAATTCCAATGGTGTTCATTTAAGAAAGTTTTTACTATGTCGTACAAAAATTTGTCGTCTGTATATCATTACAATAGCTTTACGAAACAAACATTGTAACTTATAAACGAAAATAATAGAGATGGATCGAGTTTTCTGATTTACAAAAGAACAATTCTATCATGTTTTACATTTTGTTGAAAAAAAATCTTACTTGAGATAATTTTTTCCACAAAAATCACAATTTTTCTTGCTATCTTCAAGTAGTTTTGATGTACTAAAGAGAAAAATAAATAATAACTAAATATTTCTTTTAATAAAAAAATTTAAAGAAAAATAATCAAATGCACAATAAGAACTTAGCATGCAACAAGCGTTCATATTTAAGACAATCAGAAAATTCGTACTATGCTTCAGGTGATATTTCACTCTTAGTTTGCGGTCGTTGACTACGCATATAATTATATAGCATTTCTTCATGTGTATATCGATTGTATATTTTTATAATACGCTTTGAAAAAAGTACGTTATATGTTTTAAAAAAAAATTGCATTTTATTTTATAAAATAATTCTTTTTTTCCTCTAATTGTCTTTAAATGTAAATTACCTGTTTTTTTATTTGTTCAACAAGTATTGTATTATTATGTAACCATTGATTTACTTTATTTAAATAAACAGGTGATAATTTTAATAAACCATAAATTTCTTCAAGACGAAATAAAGCATCGAATTTTGTTGCAAATTGCCTAAGAAAAAAACAAACAACAACATGTTTTTTACTTTTTAAATAGAACAAAATTTTATTTTGTTAAAACGAGACTAACCGACAAATATTATCTGTTGACAAACGTGCATTATTTAAATATTGAGGAAGATTTTCTACAACAAGTTTTTCTGGTAATGTAGTTTTTAAACAACGTTTCTGAAACCAAAGCTAAATAAATAAAACAATTTATTTTAGAATATATATTTAATTAAAATACAAACAGATGAATATTCATTTGATACAATTTTAAATTTTTCACTTTTTGATAATATTATAATTTCTCTTGAAATGGATGGTTCAATTTGATAATTTAATTGGTAAAATACAATAATAAGAAGAAAAAAAATAAAAATAAATATTAATATTGACGTATCTCGTAGTATGTGTATCATAATTAATAATTTGCTAATACAATACACAATCCATCAAAATATGATACGACAAATAGTAAACATAATAAACTAAAATGTCAAGATGAATTAAAATTATTTATTGAAAATATAAAACGCAAGATAATGATTATTTAACAGAAAAATTTAAAAAAACTATAATTTGTATAAATAGCAAAGAATAAAGTATTTTTTTTGTACATTTATCAAATTTGCATTGTGTTGATTTTGATTTATGAATTGATAATTAATGTTGTTAATTCAACGAAAGAAGAAGAAAGATGGTCATGCGAAAATAGACTTTGGAAAAAAATTGAAAGAAAAAGAAAGCAATAGTCTTTACCTTTCAAGTGTCATCGGTCGATTCAATTGAAGCGCCTGAATATCCCATCTAAAATAATAAAATTGATCTTACATCTATAAAAAAATAATTGTGTCATAATATCAGATATTCCAATTACCTAGTCTTTTTGTTTTATTTAATCGATTTATCTATTGACGGTTATCGTGTCAAACAACTTAACCAATGTATAGTAAGAGGCGACCTCAAGTTTTGAATAGTCATATGAAGAACCAATTGATAATTGTTCCGTTTTTCTTACTTCGTAATGACTCATGCATTCCTTTTTTAGCATATCCAGCAAGCAGAAGAGAGAGAAAAAGCGGTCAAGAGAATGACCGATAAGGAAAACAGAATAGTATGCCATTGATCATTATCTATCTATCTATGTATGTATATATATTATTGATTTTAGCCTCATATGCAACAACCAACTGTGCTTTTGTCTGTACTGTACCTATCTATGGTGTCTGTTTCTCTCTCTCTCTCTTTCTTTTCTTATTTTTGTCAGGTTATTTAGGCGACAGAAGAAAATATAAGACAAATGCCTGTAGTTTTGAGTGGGTGCTACTCTTCAGTGGATAAATATATTTCCGTTCGTGCTTATGTTTTTTTTTTCTATCCTTGCTAGAGTTTAGTTCTCCTCCTTGTGTGGGTGTTGTTAGTAATTGTGCGTTCTATGACATAATGCATGTATTTCTATTTCTAGAGATTAGTTCGATGAAGACAACAGTGTCTTTTCTATGTTATAGTTGTTGTTTTTTTTCTTAACTAAGTATAGAATAATATAAATAGTAATAGATTTAGTAAATTTTAGTATTTTCTCTAATTGAAAATTGTTTTTTTGATTCATTTGTACAGTTATGGCTTCAGCTGTCAATGATAGTTTACCTGTTTTACAAGATTATAAGGCTATTATTAATGGTACATTATCATCATTCGTAACACTTTCACGTAAAATTGGTGGTGAATTACCAACAATGATTGACCATGTTACCCGTCTATTTGATGTTCAACAAAAGTTTATTCAAAAAGCAATACAAAGTAAAAAGCCAACAAATGATCAAGAAATACAGGTATTGGTTAAACCACAATCCACAGAAATCGAAGCAATTTGTGGTAAAGAAAAATTTTATTAAAATCATATTCTTATGAAAAATAAAAGTTTCATTTACTTTCAGCTTATACAAATAACAATCGTAAATCACCATTATTTAATCATTTATCAGCTATATCGGAAGGTATTCCAGCATTAGGTTGGATTCTTGTTTCACCAACACCTGCCCCATATATCAAAGAAATGTCTGATGCTGCGCAATTTTATGCTAATCGAGTTCTAAAAGAATTTAAAGAAAAGGATCCTAATCATGTTGAATGGGTTAAACAGTGGATGAAAGTTTTAAGCGAATTACATGCTTATGTTAAACAATATCATACAACAGGTTTAACCTGGGGTTCCCATGGTCAACAAAGTTCAGCTGCTGTTGCTGCTGCTATGCCCTCTGGCAAAAGTGGTGGTGCAGCTCCACCACCTCCACCGCCACCACCTCCTCCACCATCGTCGTCGTTATCATCATCGGCTCAAACTCATGATGGTCAATCACGAACTGAACTCATGAATTCAATTAATGCTTTAGGAACAGGTGCCACATCTCATTTAAAAAAAGTACCTGATGAACTTAAACTTCATAAGAATCCTCAATTAAGAGATCAAGCTGCAAATCAATCAGCCGCACGATCAAATGTATCGACTAAATCTCAAGTAAGTGTTCTATATTTTATCTTTAACATTGCAATAAAATTTCAACTTGTCAAGATGAAGTATGTTTTTTTTTGTCTGTTGGAATAGGAAGATCTAATAAGTTTTTAAATCTATTGTTTAACCATCCAGAAAATATTAATAATAAAAGAAATTATATTTGTCACTTACATAACATTTGTTGTATTTATTATTCAATTTATATTTTTTTTAGGAAACTGTTTCACATACTTCATCAACATCAACTTCGGGTCCACCTAAACTAGCACTTGAAGGTAATAAATGGGTTGTTGAATTTCATTCAGGTCGACCAGATCTTAAAATTACTGAGACAAATATGAAACAAACAGTTTATATTTATAAATGTTCAAATTCAACAATAACAATTCAAGGTAAAGTTAATTCAATTGTACTCGATCAATGTACCAAAGTTGGTATTCAATTTACATCTGCTGTATCATTGATTGAATTTATTAATTGTCGTGGAATGAAAGCACAAGTACTAGATCATGTACCAACAATTCAAATTGAGAAAACAGATGGTTGTCATGTATACTTATCTAAAACTTCACTTGATACACAATTTATAACATCGAAATCATCTGAAATGACAATTAATGTTCCATTTGGTGATGGTGAATATAAAGAACATCCAATACCGGAACAATTTAAAACACATTTAAAAGGTGGTAAAGAACTTGTTACTGTACCCAATGAATCAGCTGGTGTTTAAAACAAAATTACAGTGCAATTCTTTTTTCTTTTATCACAATTATTTGAATTTTTCTGCTCTACTATTTATTTATACATGCTAGTCGCTACTGGTTGTATTTTATTTATGTTTTGAATTTTCTTTTCTTTTAATAATCTTAACATAATGTCAAAAAAGAAATGTTTGTTGCTTGTTTTTTTTGCCTTCTCTTGATGCCGCAATCATTTTATGAATAAAACAAAGTATCTGAACAAAGTTTTAGAGAATCTATATTCATGATGACATATCTTTTTGAGACAGAGAATTGATCTTAGTTTACTGTTTTCAATTTCATTTTTGTCATGTAGTCTTACTCTATTTTATTGAAATATACGAAGTTTTTTCTTTTGAGTTGTTAATGATTTTGATTGACATAGTTTATCATGAAAACTATAGTTCGATCAGAGGCGAAATAAAAACAAAACAAAGACATATAATTTTTTCATTCATGCATTCATAAGCAATAGTAGAACAGGTATTTTTAAAACAAGCGCCCCCCCCCCCCCCCCCCCCAAATCGAAAAGTGATACCACTAGTAGATAGAGCTCGGTGAGCTGATTCTACGAACACTCAAAATGGTTCAATATAGAAGTGATTGCCCAATGTACACTGTTTTTTCGAATCTACGAACACCCATATCTTTTGACAGTGAGTAGCCCTACTCAAGTTAGGTACATGCCCAAAATTTCAGCCTTTTATATGCTTGCACAAAGAAAATAGCAGGGACCGACTTTTTCAATTTTAAGCCTCATACTTTAATCTCACTTATTAATTCCGAATTCGATTATAAGGCTTAAAATTGAAAAAGTCGGTCCCTACTATTTTCTTTATGCAAGCATATAAAAGGCTAAAATTTTGGGCATGTACCTAACTTGGGTAGGGCTACTCATTGTCAAAAGATATGGGTGTTCGTGGATGTTCATATAATCAGCTCACCGAGCTCTATCTACCAGTGGTATCACTTTCCGATTTGGAGGTGTTCGCTTGTTTTACAAATATCCAAACATCGCTGCCATCGAAAATACCCATAAGCTCATAATGTAGAGCACAATGATAAATCCCAGTTTTTTATTCAAATTATAAATTAACATAAAAATAAAAACATGTAGAGTGCTAGTTAGTTCGTAAGTCAACACACAATATGTGGATCAATCCGAATAATTCGACTGAAACCCGTAAAACGATCAGAAAAATACATTACATAATTATCTGTAATAAGTGTATCTATGATCCATCCACTCTCTAGACTAAAATTTCCAATCCAAGTTCCTAAACTATTGAAAATCTGAATGATAGATGTCTCTAATGAAAACCAATATCGACCACATTCATCAATTGTCACGGAAGTTCCACCACTAATATTCCTGATTGAAGTTGCATCAATAATAAGTGTTTCACTCCACGATGTACTATTCTCTGCAACGCTATAAGCATAAACTGAATTGTTTGTCCATGATGTTGCATAAAAGTAACTATCATTATAACTAGTTAACCCATATACTCCTGGATAATATACTGATTGCTGATAGGCAAATGTATAGTCTAATGATATATTATCTGTTTTACGAAAACATACGATGGCTTGGTTGCTATTGGCGGAAACTAACATTGTATATCCATCATCAAGAAAAGTGATATCACGTATTCCTCGAAGATAAGGTGAAGAGATGAAGTTGGGAACTATCAGAGATTCATTTGTAACAGCTATGATAGGACCATTCGTAAGGCCAATAAAATAATTATTGTTTGAAAATGCTACAGCCATTGCGTACGACCCAGCTACTGCAGTCTGGCTAATCTTCGTTAAATTAGACGCATCGAATCGATCAAGTTTAGGAGGTTGCATTTCAACTGTAACTAAATAACCATAATTGTCAAGTAATATGTTTCGAGGATTTGATACATTTACATAAGTCCACGTTCCATTTTTGAGTTTATCTAATAAATACGCAAGATTAGGCATACAACATTGACTAATATTTGGAAAGATTTTTTGAGGAAAATAAAGACGAGCTTGTGGTGTTGATTTAATTCTATAACTAATAGGAAAACTGTAAAACAATTGACATGTATCGTTTGGAAAATAATTGAAAGCAACAAAACTGGATGTAGCCATACAAAGACATTGGTCGCATGATTTATTTGCGATTGTTATACTATTTGATCCATATTGAGGAAAGAGAGTAACATTTTGAATAAATGGAATTTGAGTACAATCGATAAAAGCAGTCGAAAACAGTAAGACAGAATATATGAGAGAAAGCATGACTATTTTTTTAATCAATGTGTCGAAATTTAAAATATTTGATATTTCAACTTTATGAATTTATATATTACAATTATTATTTGTAGACCACTACTAGACAAAAGAAAGCGGGAATGTATATATAAATGTTGATAATGACAGATTGTTCTTGGAAATTTATTCACCCCGTATAATAGTCAGTATTTATAGAGGAGTAAAAAAAATTGTTTCAATAGTTTTTGATTCTTTAGTATTCATTATCACTTCATTTGCATGTTTGAAAAAAAGCCTCTCAAAAAATACCATTATCACATTTTTGACGTATATAATAATAAGTGAAAAAGCAAATTATCTACTAGTGCATGTCAGTGCATGTTTGTTTTCAAAGAGATTTATTACTATAGAAACTAGTCTTCAGACTATTTTTTTCATTCAAATTCTTGGCAATAGCTGTTTTTCCCAGCACAGTTAAATATTAACTAAAAGTTGAACCATATTTTGCTTATATCATTGGAAAACTTCCGTTTTTTCACTGTGAAACATCTGACATCTGACTCACATATCCTAGGCAGTCAAGATAACAATCAAAACAATGTTTAAACATGGCAATATGTAAAATAGATAAAATTTTTATTTAGTCGCCAAAAATGTGTTAAACATAGTTTGCAATTAATCAATTTTTAACACATGGGACACGCTTACACTTTCAGAATTGTTGAAACATTTACTTTCCTAATTTCTTTCTGGTAGATAATGAAACACTTTTCACGATATGAATACTCTTGATGAATATGCCTGTTAATAATTAACACATATTTCATGTAAATGATGAAGTAACAAATTGAAATGCTTCATATCGATGTCCGATAGTCGAGTTATGCATGAAAAGATATATAGACAATCAGAGAGAAAAATTGCTATGGCAGACTATTTATAATTTTCTCGATGTTTTCTTTTTTAAAAAATCGTAATCTTTCTAAACTTCGTTATCCTATCTGATTTCTGTTAAACTTTAAATATTTTGATGTATTGAAAAATCTGAATATTAACCTCTTTATTTCTCGAATGCTAAATTGCCGATTTCTTAAATATCATTAACGATAAATCAATAGATAACAGTAACGCAAAGAAAATCCATCAATAAGAAAACTTTTCGTCTTATGTTTTTGTTTATATGACGAAAAACTCAATATTCATATTTGAATTCATTGATGTATATGATTTTTGTGTAAATAAATGTTGAATACTACGAGTTATTGAAGGATTAATGACAGAAAATGGCAAACTATGAATCATCTAAACAGTTTTCTAGCACTTAGAAAATCACAATCCGAACCACGATGATGAATATTCAGTCTTCAGCGATAAGTTTATTTTTATTTAAATTAGTTTAAGAGTATCGATGCTATAAGATGAGATTAAATTGAAAAGACAACGATATAATAAACAGTCTGAGAAATTATCATATGCATGTTCCAAGTCCATTCAGAAGATCGATCAAGCGATATCTTTGAATGATTACCGCTATGTTCTTGGCGCTTGAGTGAGAATATTTCTTCTATATCTCGCGTATGTGTTGATAGTTTAAGCTCTTTTAAAGTTGTTAGAAGTCTAATTAATGGAACGCTACAATTTAAGTCCTCAGCGAGTCATTCTACTGCTTGTTTTTTTTGTTTGTATCCGTACATTTCATAATCACACTGACTTAGTGAATATTGCATTCTTTTGGAGAAAAATTCGCAATTATAAAATGATACATTAAATGCTGTATTATTCCTTTCATTTGAACTATTTTCTTACAAAAAACAGTTTATTTTATTTAGATATTTTTATTCTTACCCATTCAATTACGATATGCATTACATGTACTAAATCGCAGATTAATTACTAATGTAGCCAAAGAGTTAACTGAATAGATGAATTAGGCAACTACTGTGTGAATAAGATTGAACGCTAATGCACATATGAAAAAGAGATGAAAACCAGCGCGTCATTAAAGCAGGAAAAGTAAAGTAATTGTTTTTATTTTTGTTGTGTGTTGGATAGACACTAGCAACAGGAAAAAGAAGCGTCCTTTAAAATGAACCCTATGACGAAGTTTATTTTTATCTGTTGAAAACAGAACTCAAGAGAATATAAGATAACATACAAATGAAATCAAATGAAACTATTAAATTCTAATTTATTTTACGATTCAAAATGGTACGAGAATAAACTACCTGGATTTTGTTCGTTGGCAACGCTTCTCCCTCATGACTATTTGTTCTTCTAAAGGAAAGAAAACAGCAAGTATTCTAAATGTTGAAATAATCCGGAAAGAACGAGATAATTGATACATTTAATATCATTATATTAACTGATAGTGATATTATTGGGTATTCTTCACAAAATACAATCAAGTTCAAGTTGTCCATGTTACATGTTTAGTGAAATGTATATATTCCGAACAAAAGAATGTTGTAACATTTATTGGATAAGTCCATACAACTGTAATTAGAGGCTTTGAGCAAGTGAGGTTTTTTTCAACTGTGTCGAGCTGGTCGATTGAAGTTCTTCGCTTAACTAGTAGAAAAACCCCCAACAATCGGCTAGTTAAGGTTAAATTATAGAATTCGCTCGTAGAAAACCCATACGCTTAGATGTGTCAATTGGCCTACTAATTCTTTTGAAGAAAAAGTTTATTAGTGCAGTGCTACGAAAACATACAATGTGAAAATCACGTAATTATTGCAGTTTCTAATAGTAACAACATCTATTTTAGTCTCTTGCATTTCATATATGTTAATGGTAAGAATGATGAAAAACTCTTGCAAAATGTTTCATCTATTAACTCAAGAAAGCTGATATCGAACGACATGTATGTTTTGTTTTGTGTTGTACCTGGTTTTATTCAATGAAGATATAATCTCATGACAAGAATTGATCAGTTTTATGTTTTCTTACTTGAAATCATTATTTGAGACAATTGAAAAGCTTCTCAATTCGTAGAAAAATACTACTGCCGATAGGAAGACAAAGTGAGCTACAGCATTTCGACTTTTTATATTAGACTTCATATTCTTCGGTTTTTTAACGCCTAGATATTGTCACAGTTTCATAATACAGCAGTTGACAAAACCTCCACAACACAGTGGAATCTCTTTCGATATTTATGTAATAAAAACATGCATTGAAGCTACTAATCATTGAAAGTTTCTGAAAGTCAATTACAAGGAGCCTAGACAAGTCAGCTCGAAATTTTGAGAGCGAAAATCTTTAGTTCATACCGAATTTGAATTCTAAGAGCTAGCTAACTTTTTGTGGCTGTAATAAATACATTCAACATGATCCAAGACTCTTATTTGACCGTGAGAAAGCATGAGTTCAAAACTTCAAGTTAAAATTTTGATGACGACTAAAAATTTACCTATTGACAACTTTCACGCTCATATTTTTGAACCGTGAAAATCAATAACAACAATTAAAATAGACTACCTACAGTACTCTAAAAATGGATAAACAATCGATGAAAACTGGCCAATTTTTAAAGTTCAATAACATCGTATGAGAATCCAAAACTTATGATCGATTGTAATGTTTTTGATAGAAAATTAATTAGATGTATCGTTTCTTTTTCCTATTTCCTAACCAATATTGAAAATTTACTCTACTCATGCTATTTCTTGTTGATTTTCAATTTGTCTGTTTGAGATCGAAGTCTCCAAGGACACAAGGACTTGTTGCAATATTTAGAAAATAGCTGAAAACATAGAAGGAATGCGGAAGAACCATAAGAGTAATTCAAACACTACAAAATAATGACCTTTTTCTATTATTTTACGAATTATAGAATATTAGCAGTATCATTATTTCTTTCAAAGAAATTTTTTCTAGCTTGTCAAAAATAGCGCATTTATTAGAAAAGGTAAAATATTAATGTGTAACAGGTCTAACTTCAATGAGAATGCAGACGTACAGATGATAACTGAATTATAATGAATTTATATTAGCAACATGATTCTCTAGTTCTTTAGTGTTGAATAATAGAAAGATATGTTATGTTTCTCTGACTGTGGTTTATTTTCTTTCTTAACTTATTTATTTAAGACATTGACGCTCAAAACACTGATTCATTCATTATGTTCGTTATGATTATCTTTTCCATACGAATTTCACTGTATGATCCTCTATGATAAGAAGAAACTATCAACGATGAATAATGAAAGATCGTATTTTTCATCATTTGATATGAGACTATTAGATCCTTGTATAATTAGTTTATCTTGTTAGCAACCAATTTGTTCAAAAATTTGTGATCTTTGACACGTAAGTTATTCCATTCTTTTATACATTCAATTGGTTTCAAGATCTTATTTAATGATTCTTGAGCTTCTAAGTTTAAATATAATAGTTATATGGTTTTCTCAAAAGTGACAACTAATCGTCCCAATTAGTGTTGAAATCTAATTGTTGTATTTTATGATTAGTTGAACTTTTATTGTTTTTTGAGTGTATTTGTTACAACTTTAGTATTTTTATTACCGAATTCATAACATTTTGATAAAATAACAGTTAGATGTTAGGAGAAGAAATAAGAAATGGGGTCGCTATTTTAATTGAAGGATAATAGTACGCCAATATTTTATAAAAAAATGTTTTGTATATTGAGCTGATAGATTATTTCGTTTACATTGGTCTTAACATAGATACGTCTTCCTTGTATCCTCTAACAGATCTATTGTTTTTGACGTTCCCACTAATTATTATAATTGAAATTCCACTTCACTGTAAAATGTCCGATACCATTACATTTTGCACATATTACAAGTTATTGAGTAACACAGAATTCTCGTACTTCAACTAGACTATCATTGATCCTGACTACACCATTT